GGAAGAGAGGAGGTTGCTGTTTTACAATACCTTATGAAAAAAAGGAGATTACTCCACATTTTTTATGAATAGGTAGACTCTTATCTCTAATGTGACTTTGGTCTGCAAAAAAAGTAGAACTTGATCTGATGTGTCTGGTTTGTATCAGTGTAGCCATACATCACTTTAGTGTCAGATAACTAGGAATTTGAGATGTTGCACGTAGACCAAATGTTAAAATGTTAGCTGTGTTCCTCTGCACCATGCTTTGATTGCTTTCCCAGCATACCACATGCTGTGCCTATGTTCTCCCAAAAGCCAGCTCTATATAACTGAAAGCACTAGCCCCTGATCATCCCATTCAAGCTGTAGTATACCAAGCTCAGCACCTTCATTCTGCTCAGTGGTTTTTCCTTTTTCCCAATATATCTTTACATCTGTCATTCCACTCCTGGATTTTTCCCTGTCTCTGTGGCTTGGAGGGTGAAGGGCAAGAGGAAGTAATGTGATAAACAATGCTGCTTTTTGAAGGCATAGGTCACAAGAGTAAATACCTTTTGATTTATTTTGTCCTTACTGAAAAGTTAGAACAGATTTTTACATATGCCATGATCTCAGTTTTGGAGCTAACTCATCTCTTGTATTTTTCAAGTAATTTGTGTTCTGAACATAAATTTCAGCTTTTCATCTGATTAGTGTAGCATAGATAGATGAGAAGAAATGTGATAAAATCTGAAACAGTTAACTGAGCAAAGGATTGAGACCATGATGTACAGTACATTGTTTTTTATTGATACTTAACAACTGTTAATACTATTGAAATCTTGCCCAGCATATGAGATCTGAGTTTTCTTCTAGGAGTTTGAACAACTGCAAACTTACATTGTTGTTAGTGGGTGGACTGGCAGAAAAGAATAAAGAAGAATTGCTAGAAACTCTTGCATAATTTTCCATGAGAAGCTGGAACTGATACAGTAAAGTGTTGATTTATGGCCTTTTCAACTTCTAATCTCATTAAATCAGAGTTAAATCATGCTGTAAACATCTCTCAGAATAAAAGCATGTTACATAGAAAGTGTAAGAAAAAAACTCTCTAAAACTTACTAAAAATGGAGGATAGCTTCTCAACTCTCAGAAACAAAATCTGTCCCAATAACCTAATAAAATTGTAGAGAATCATGGCTTTCAACTTGTATAAAATGGTGTCGTCTTTGCAGTTGCTTGGATACTAGAATGTCAGTTTCTTCTGAGTACTGAAAGTGGTCTGCTCTGCTCATTCTGCCATGTCTATAAATTTCTACTACAAGTACACGTATTGCATAAAATTCCCTTAAAAGTGCGGTGTACTTTGTTTTTCTGTTTGACAAGTTCTGATTACATTAATGCAATGAGAGATGGTGAAGCTGCTGCTGAAGTGTGCTTGGCTCACTTAACAATTCAGCAAGTTAGACCCACTCCATGGATTTTTCATCTGTGAATGTCCACTACTTCAAGTCTTCTTTTTAGTCTGTTAGTGATGTACATCATAAACAGATTTTCAGATAGTGGAAAATGAATTTAGAGTCTGCATTTGGTTCACTTTTGTTACATAGGTTGATTTGCATGAAGAATATTTATATTCATCCTTCAGAGAATTATTGCTATTTCCTTGCTCTGTACTGAGCCTTCACCTCTGCTTTCACCTCTGGAGTGGACATAGAGTCATAGAATGGTTTGAGCTGAAAGGGATCTTGAAGATCATCTAGTTCCAACCCCTCTGCCATGAGCAGGGATACCCTCCACTACACCAGGTTGCCCAAAGCCCCATCTAACCTGGCCTTGAACACTTCCAGGGAGGGAGCATCCACAACCTCTCTGGGCAACCTGTTCCAGTGCCTCACCACCATCACAGTGAAGAATTTCTTCCTAATATCTCATCTAAATGTCCTCTTCTTCAGCTTAAGGCCATTCCCCCTTGTCCTATCGCACCATGCCCTTGTAAACAGTCCCTTTCCAGCTTTCTCGTAGGCCCCCTTTAGGTACTGGAAGGCTGCTATTAAGGTCTCCCTGGAGCCTTCTCTTCTCCAGGCTGAACAACCCCAACTCTCTTCATAGCCTGTCTTCATAGGAAGACCATCTGATGAGGTCTTTGTGGCCCTCCTCTGGACTTGCTCCAACAGTTCCATGTCTCTCTTTTACTGGGGACCCATAGCAGGGGGGTTGGAACTAGATGATCTTTGAGGTCTCTTCCAACCCAAACCATTCTGTGATTCTGTGACCCCAAAGCTGGACTCAGTAGTCCAGGTGTGTGTCTCACAAGAGCAGAGTAGAGGGACAGAATCACCTCCATTGACCTGCTGGCCATGTTTCTTTTGATGCAGCCCAGGATACGGTTGGCTTTCTGGGCTGCAAGCGCATGCTGCCAGCTCGTGTTGAGCTTCTTGTCCAACACCCCCAAGTCCTCCTCAGGGCTGCTCTCAATCCATTCTCTGCCCAGCCTGTAGTTGTGCTTGGGATTGCCCTGGCCCATGTACATGACCTTGCACTTGGCCTTGTTGAACTTCATGCGGTTCACATGGGCCCACCTCTCCAGCCTGTCAAGGTCCCTCTGGATGGTATCCCTTCCCTCCAGCGTGTCAGCCATACCACACAGCTTGGTGTCGTTAGCAGACTTGCTGAGGGTGCACTTGTTCCCACTGTCCATGTCGCCGACAAAGATGTTAAAACAGTGCCAGTCCCAGTACCGACCCCTGAGGAACACCACTCGTCACTGATCTCCATGTTGGTCTGCATGTCGTGTAATACTAGTAATGGAACTTAGGTTTTACAAAGCTCGTTTGACTTGTAAATCTAAAAGCACTTGATGGTAGATGAGACCTTCCTGTCCTTCAAATGAGAAGACAGGTATAAAAAGGACTTCAATGACTGACTGACTTTTGTGCTGCAAATTAGTGATAATAGAAAAGGAATTTTCCATCAACTGGACTGTGCTATGATGGTAATGCCGTGCTGCCTCTTTGGATTCATTGAGTTTTATGGACTGTCTTTTCTGATGTGAAGAGGGACTTTTTATGATTAGCCCGTAATTTGTGAAAGCTGGATACTCACTTTCTTGTGGTTCGAAGTCCACTAGTGGTCCTTGGCTGGGCACGCTGAAGTTTTAACAGTACAGTACTGCATTTAATTTGGACTTGCACTGTTGAAGGCCCTTTTTAGTTCTGTGTTTAAATATTTGAGGTATTAAATGGCTGCTTAACTGTCCTTGTAGTCCTTTTGTTAACCTATGATAAAACAATGTTTTTCTCTAGATGCCTTCTGAAAAAAACAAAAAAGAAAAAAAAAAAGCATTGAATCTGAAACAAATTCTTAGGAAAAGGAAATTACCTTTTGATCTTGCTATTGAAGGGATTTAATTTGTTAGCTAATCCTTCTAAGACAGCAGTAACCATACGCAATTATTTTAATATGAATAATTTCAGTATGAATAATATGCAATTATTTTAATATGCTAATGCAAATAAGTAAACAAATCCTTTTTTTTTTTTTTTTTTCAGGTTAATATCTCTAAAAGTCCTTAACAGTATTGTATTGCTGGGGAAATCATGTCAGTATGTAAAGGAGGCAAAAATGGAGGAGAAATTATTCAATCCTGTTCTGACTGCCACTCCAGGGAAGCCGGCTGGCAAACAGCAAAGCATGTTTAAATCTAACCAAGGTAAGGCTAACTGTCTTGTTTTGTTTTCAACTGTAACAAAAATTGCTTTCAAACTAAATTGATTAACCAGATGTATGATATTGCTGCACAGTAACCCTGTCGCTGGACCTTAATTGTACCATATCACAGCTGTGAGCACCAGTCTGTAAATGTAATAGAATTTATTGCTTTTAGTTCATGCATCTCCTTTTCGTTAGAAGTACTCATCTCTGATAAGATCCCACCCTGATGTGCGGAGGTGATAGAAACATCAGAACAGTAGCACAGTTTTGCATGAAAATCACGATCATGGAATGGTTTGGGTTGGAAGGGACCTTTATAGATTGTCTAGTCCAACCCCCTCTGCCATGTCACTGCACAACTAAGTAAATATTTACACATCGTGTCAGGCAGTGCTGAAGTTTAAGAAGGAAGCAATGTATGCATTTCTTATGGAGATTAATGTAAAACATGGCACACAACAGGTATAATTGCTTGTAGTTGCCATAAACACATTCATGTTGCCCTCTATGTCAACGACCAGCTGGAGCGCATGGAGCTCCACCTGGGGATGGAGGAGGAGCCCACCGAGAGCCTATGGGTCAGGATTAAAGGGAGGGCTGGGGCAGGGGACATCATAGCAGGGGTCTGCTACAGTCGGCCTGACCAGGGAGACCGAGTAGATGAAGCTCTCTATAGGCGGATAGGAGTAGCCTCATGCTCACAAGCCCTGGTCCTTATGGGGGACTTCAACCACCCTGACATCTGCTGGAGAGACAGCGCAGCTGAGTCTAAGCAATCCAGGAAGTTCCTGGAGTGTGTTGATCATAACTTTCTCCTCCAAGTGATAGAGGAGCCCACAAGGAGAGGTGCAATGCTGGACCTTATTCTCACCAATAAGGAGGGCCTGGTAGGGGACGTGAAGCTCAAGGGTAGCCTTGGCTGCAGTGACCACGAAATGCTGGAATTCAGGATCCTCAGGGCAGCAAGGAGAGCACTCAGCAAGCTCACTACCCTGGACTTCAGC